GGAGGGTGGAGCCAGGTGGGGGTTGGTCTCTTCTCCCAGGTAACAAGTGATGGGACAAGATGAAATAGCCTCCAGTTGCACCAGGGGAAGTTTAGGTTGGATACTGGGAAAATTTCTTCAGGAAAAGGATTGCCAAGCACTGGCACAGCTGCCCAGGGTGGAGTCACCATCCCTGGAGGGGTTTAAAAGCCATGTGGATGTGGCACATGGGGACATGGTCAGTGGTGGCCTTGGCAGTGCTGGAGAACAGTTGGACTCGATGGTCTTAGAGGGATTTTCCAACATAACAAACCATGTGTTTCATAAGGAGGTAAAAAAAATCAACATTAATGTTTCAACAGTAAAGCTGTGCAGACCCTTAAAATGTTGACAATCTAGAAAGGTTAACAATAGGGAATTCACACTGTTTCAACAGAGAAATTGCTAAAGTAACCTCTCATTTCTGGGAGAGCAGCTTTTGCAAATATCCAACACAGAGTAGAGTTAATACTATGAAAGAAAGACTTGACACTTCTCCATCCTCCCCCCAACCTGCAGTGCCAGCATTGACTGACTGTTTGGTGCTGGATAAGATGTTTTCACAAGGCAGAATTTCTTTTCCCTGTGGGATAAGCAAGCAATAGAATCACAGAATCACAGAATCCTTAAGGTTGCTCTTTGCCATGGGCTAATGTGTATTTTTTCTGCTCAGGGAGCGCACGGATTCAATCCCTTCCTGTCACAAATCAATTCTTTCTCCCCTTTGGAGACATTTTCCCACCCCTCCCGCAGAAGCTCCATCCATCCTCTTCCTAGGCCAAAATCTGCTGGATCCAGAGGGGGCACACATGGAGATTCCTGTGAGCTGCTGAAGGGACATGAACATCCAAACATCTGTCTCATGTCAAAGCAGAACAGGAATACATGGAAATATCCTGTGATTATCAGGACTCTAGAGACCTCTCGTGGACAAACACATTTGTTTCCTTCATGCTACATATTTGTTTTAGAGATAGGTTTTGTTTATTTACAATTATTACTATTATCAATAATTACCATATATTATATTATTGTTATACATTCTGTAGTGAAGCAAACGTGGATTCTGGTCCTATGGTGATGATCAAGCAATTAACACCTTGAATATTATTCATCCACTTTGTCTTGTTCTTCAATTCATTTTTATTTTGGGATCTTTGCATTCTGAAGTGGTGAATGGCAGTGAAAATAACTCCAATTCACATAATTGCCATATTGCTCTTAACCAAAATGGAGTTGTTTTTTCTTAGCATTTTAACTTGTCAGACAATACAGATGCTACAGAAGGAAGAATTAAAACAGCAACACTAAATTTCATTCCTTTGTACTTATTGTTGACCATTATTATTTGGAATGTAGCATTTTTTTCTCACCTGAAAAACATTTCAAGATTCACCAATTTTATGGACTCTTTTCCCCCTCATTTTTTATTGACCATATTTTGTCCCAAAGCAGAACATTTCCATCAACCAGACAGAAATCTGGGGTTTCCTGAGCATTTCTCAGGCCAGCAGGGGATATTCAGTGGTTGAAAACCATCTTTCTTAAACGAGCAAGAAATCAGCCATTGGATTTTTATTTACTGATGGAAAAACTTCAGTTTTTCTTTTCCCCCTGAGAAATGTGTTAACCTCGTTGGGCCCAAGGAGGTGAGTCCTATGAGCTGAGTGTTATCCCACAATCCCTGTGTTTGCAGCCATCTGCCAGTGCAGGGATAAATTGCTTTTTCTACAGAGATTATTCGATTTTTTCCACGATCCGCCTCATTTTCCAATTCCATCCTTTCCTCACTTGGGTGAATTATTGGTGACCCTTGATGTTTTCACTTAACAAAAAGCACAAGGAGAAATGGCTGTTTTCTTCACCACCCTGGCTTTGCATGAAAGCACCGTAAAATTAAAGGCAGACAAAGAAATTTATATTAAGGAGATATAATTAAAGAGTCCTCAGTGCTTATCTCCAACCCCCTGAGCAGCCCACTGGGTACAAGGCAGAGGCAAGGTAATTCTTCTTTTTAATATTGCAATAACTCTGAGCTATTTTAAGAGAAAACCCACTGACAATTTTGGACGGAAAGCTACATTTCAAAAATAAATTAAAATCTTGGCAAGAAGCTCCTGATTTCACAGGAAAATTTCAATGTGCTGGAGTGCTGAAAACTAAAGAATATCTCAGCTGAATACACTTTGGTTTTTGCAGGGGAAAAAATTGCTTTTTAATTCTTTTCTGCCCTTTTTCTGCAGGGGAAAGGACCAGCAGTATTTTTTTAATCATCCTTCGTGGCTTTGGTTGTAGGTGCAAACACGTAATGGGGGAATTGGAAAGAGGCAGATAAAGCTGTTGGGGTTCAGAGTGAGCTCTCCTTTTCCCAAACTGTGCTAGGAACATTTTTTATACCGTGCTCTAAGCAGATTTTAAGTGGATTTTTAAGTAGATTTTAGAGGAAAATTCAGCTCTACTCAGCTCCTGTACCTGCCTAATTTTGACACCACTTCTTAATTGACTTTTATCCTTTTTGTCTCTGTAAATCATCATATTGCCACAAAAAAAGGCCTTTTCCAGACATCAGGGAAAGCCTGGAGCAGTGTGGTAGCAGTTTTTTTTTTTAATTCTTTTTTTCCCCCCATTTCTTCTCTCTTTTGTTGAAATCCTGGATATCAGGATCTGGAACTGGAAAATGAGGCTGTATCCATGTCAAATGTGGATCTGGATTCCCAAACTCTTGCCCCATTTTGCTCTCTATCATTACCTAAAGCTTTCTCATTTCAGTTTGACAAACCACCAACAAGTTTGAGTCTGGATATTTATTTTTGGTGGTACATCTTATCACCCAATTAGTGTTTTAATTTAAATGTACAAGTGCCTATCTCTCAGTTCACAGCTATTCTGCCCGATATAAAACAATTGCTTGGTCACAGACTTCATGAATCAATGTTATCACGACTCATGAAGTATCTTATTTGCTTTGTGATAGGAATGTTGAGCATATTTTTAAATCCTATTTTCTTGGTTTCCACTTCTATGTGCCATGCAAACCAGAGTGATCTCAGCAGGCTATTTTCCTGTTGTTAAGCCCTGAACCCTAATCTGAAGGAAACAAACCCAGCTCCTCTTATTTTCAAACAGATAAGATTTGCGAGGTTATTAATCACAGGTTCAAATGGCTGCACTGGGAATTGGAAATGATCTCCAGTTTTATATAAAACTTGTCAACATTTATTACAGAGACGGACCATCCGTCCAGTGGGAGCCTTAGAAAGCCATTATGTGTCTGGTGGATGATAAAGGGAGATTTAACTGCACAAACAGCCATGACATCATGCTGAACTTACATGTTCTTTCATCTGCCCCTAAATGATACCGTTTCTTTTTGGCCATTGCCCTGAGCTTTGATTTTGGATGGGGGAGCTCTTTCTCCTCCCATGTGTCACTTCATCTATTTTACCTTCTTCTTTTATTTTATTTTTTTTTTTTAGTAGAACAAATCACTGTTGTTGGTTTTATTTTTCTCTTAAAGAGCTTTAAGGCTGGATTCAGAGGATTAGCTCCCGGGCAGGTGTAAATCAACAGCAAGTTGGCTTCCTCCAGGCAAGGTTTAATCTTGGTGAATTTGTACACTGGAAAACATGAAATTATGTCCTCTTTCATTTAAACAAATCCTGGTAGGGCTGAATACATTGAAAGAAGATAATTTTCATATGACTTTATTTCCTTTCTCAGCATTGCTCCTCAGACATTAAACCTATTTCATGTGTGACTGATACATAGGGCTACACAACCCACTGATAATTAATGATATAGATAACTAAAAAAGGAGATTAATCTCTTTTTGCTGTAGCTGCCATGAGCACAACGAGTGCCCAACAGCCTTAAGCTGAAATGCTTTCAGTGTGTGGTGTAACATCACCCTCACTTTGACAAAATAGGTTCAAACCCTCATAAATATCCCATCAAAATCTTCCAGTGACAATTTGGTGATGAAATAAACTGCCAACATTGCTCGAAAATAACAAGATAAATATAAATATAAAAATATATATAATATGGATATAAATTCAGTTGTACTTTGCAGAAAATCCTGATGGGAAAGGACCCTTTGCATGGTGCAATCCCAGCCACCATGGGACACCCCAGTTACTGCCAAGGACTGTGCTGGAGTAGCTGGTGATAAGATCACAGTGTGTAATAAACCTCTCAAGTCCCTTCCAAGGGATAAAAGATGGGAAGCAGAGTGTTTTAAGTGCAGCCAGATTGCTGTCCTAGGCTGGGGAGAAGAAAGAAAAAAGCAATGAGACTGGTATTTGGAGTAAGTGGTCTCTGAACTGTGCAGAATTGTGTTTGGCACTGAGAAATTAAGCTGTGTGGAGACTAATAAATATAGATTTTTGTGACTGGTGGTGCTGCAGCCTTGAACAGGCATCCCTGGGGCTGTGGATACTGTGAAGTGGAGAAACTGAGATAAGTCCTGCGGAATGACAAAAAATTCTCTTGTTCCTTCCTGTGATTCCTCACTCCAAGAGGAGAAAGTGCAGGAAGACTGCTGGAGAACTGATGGATTTTCCCTCGTGTGCACAGAGAGGTTGTCAGAGCAGAGAGAGGAGCAGTGGGTCTGACAGCAAAGGTGTCAGGGTGGGGGTTTTTTGCAAATCACAAAGAAAAAGTACAAATAGATTTTTTTTTTCTATCTTCTATCTAAAAAAATAGTCTCTGAGCACCATTTTCCAATTTTTTCTGGATAAAACAAGTTGTTTTCCACTGCTCTCTGAACCTGATGAGCACCTAGTCCCTCTTCCCTGCAGTGGCAGAACGCTCTCATAAGGTTCACTATAATCTGGCAGAAAATATCCCCAGTCTTTAAAAATCTTAAATATCAGTAAAACCAATATAAGGAGAAGGGAGAAGATGTTACTGGGATCTCCCCAGGGCATTTCTCTCTTTTCTGTGACATCAAATCCTCCAGGATCACAGTCACAGAAGTCCTTGGTGTGTGAGCATGGTGTAGTTTGCTGGAACTGTGTCAGCTTTGAGTGGTCATCAGCTAAACTCCAAAATACCTCAGAGGGGTTTTAAAGCCTGCCCTGGGCTTTGCACTGGGATAGGTAAGTGCAGGTGATCTCCAGGTGTAAAACACTTGTGCAAAGCCCTGCCAGCAGCGTGGGTATCCAGTGCAGATCATCCTCCCCGCAGCCATCAGCTGAGTTTTTCCTGTTGTTAAATTATTTTCCTTGCTGCTGTTTGGGCTTTTTGATGAGCTGCCTGCTCATGAAGTCCCTGGTGGTCATGAGTAGCTCAGATGGCTGCACGTGTGGATAACATTTCCCTCGGGAATAGGAGTGATTTGCATGAAAAAAGCATCTACAAATGGGTTTTATCAAAATCCACACACTGTGTGTCAAGGGAAAAGCATCTATGTGGGAAGAGAAGCTTTGTCGAGACTTCCTCTGTTGGTATTTTAGTCTCACTGTGGGTATTTTATCCTGAAATGTGCATATAATTTTGACTTGCACAATTATTTTAACACAACAGGCGATTTGATGACTGGCTAAAGCTGATGCTGTAAAACACTCCACTCTTTGTGAGGAAAAGCTTCACTGTTTATGCAATTCTAAATTCTTCCTTTTAAAATAAAATTTACAGCCTCCTGGAATGGCTCACACAGACCTCCCAGGCTTTGATTTCTCAAGGAGTTTTTGAAATGTGTATCGACCCCAAGACTGGAGACACACTGAAACAATTCCACCTGAGGGGAGGTGTTAATGCCTCTGACATTGCTGCCACTTGTCTTCATGCCTGGGAGAAATTTATGTACCCACTGCCCAGTTTTACTGCCAAGCTGTATCCTCTCCACTCCTCTCAGGGATTACCCTCGGTGCCATGAATCTACTTGTTCGTTTATCACAGCAATTCTTCAAGTCAGAGTTATCTCAAAGGAAAAAACAAGGAGTGGGCTACAAATTGCTCAGATTGTGGTGAGGTTTTCAGAGGTTAATGCACAGCACTGGGCACCCTGTGTGGGCACAGCATTTGCTGTGCATGGATTGCAGGACTGAGGAAAAGCTGGTGAAGGGAGCTGAGGTGCCCTGGAAATGTGTGGGAAAAGCAGCCCCCAGATCTGCTGAGACATGGATTTGGGAGGACATCTAACAACAACAGCTTGGTAAAACTCCACCTCTCAGTCTTCATCTTGGCTAGGGAAGATGCCATTGTTGGTTTTACAACCCCCTGGGTTAAACATTATCTGTCCCACTGCAAAACCATAGTGGATATGGGAAAACTCAGTGTTTCTGGGGAGCAAATTCAGCTATAGTGGAACTTGGTCCATCTCCCAGGTGGAGCTCACAGTCAGCACACCTGGAGCCTCATCTCTCCTCATTTGGTCTTGTGAAATCCATTTCTGCTCCCCACAAAACCTGCCCCCTCCTCCACCTCCTTTTCAGACAAGAAGAGACTCGAGTCCCTGTGCCAGCACATGAGGGTCTAGATCTGTCCCTCCCTCGTGGGATCCTCTGCATCCAGACCCTCCTGGTGAGAACTGGGGAATGTGCTGCTGAAGACAACTCAGAAATTGGATTTTCACCACTTTTCATGGGTGTGTGCACCATGGTGCAGGAGCGTGTTTAACCTGCACACATCATGTGATTTGGTTTTCTTCTCGGTGCTCTCACACTGGCTTTGCTTTCAGAAGGCAAATATTCAAGTGCACTGGAGTAATTTCAGTTGGGCCATCTAAATGGGGGCAGAGAAGTGACGTGTTCACTTCCAGTGAATGACTTGTAATGACCTCACTCCTAAAAAATGAAATTAAATGGAGAGTTGTTCACGTAGGTAAATGTTCTTCAGCATAGACAAGTCACCTCACTTGGAGAAATCAGAGCTTGATGAGCTTCTGAATTGCATCCTGATTCCAGAAGGGTTGGAAAAGCTGCTTTTTAGACCATGACAACCAGCACTGAGGTGTGGAAGCATCTGCCATCCTGTGTGCCAGAGCTGCAAAGTGCAGCACAGGGCACTAATATCTCCTCAGGAAAGGCTGGTTTTTATTGGGTGGATTGGATCTGGGCTTTATTTTTCCAGGTGGCTGTGGAAGAGGCTGGTTCTGCACACTGTGATGGATGCAGCAATTTTGCCATCGGGTTCTGACAGGTTAAACTCCTCTGGGTGCTGCTGAGGAGTCTATGAGAGGATTTAAACACCTAAACACTTCTAATTATCTGCAGCCAACACACTGATCTGCCAAGACTGATGCTCAAAGTGAAGTGTTGAGTGAAAACTGAGTGACAAGCAGCCAGAAACAGAGGCATGGAATAGGAGGAGCAACACCCCACACATTCTGTGCTTATCATAAGGGATTTGCTGGGCATGTGACCCATAAAGCAGCACCTGCAGCCCATGTTTAGTGCTCTGGTGTGTTTGAAAAGATCTGTCCAGGAGCCTCGGGCCAGCTGTGTGTGGCACCCACAAATAAATAAATAAATAAATAAATACAAAATAATAAATATAAAATACAAAATAAAAAAATACCTAAAAAATACAAAAGGAAACACAAAACAAAAACAATACACACACAAAATAAAGATAAATAAATAAATAAATGATGGAGCATTTCTCACCTTCCACAAGAGTTTCACCAACTGCCTTACTCCTTGGTGAAATCATGTTTTAACCATGAGCTTAAAGAAACCTGATGGGTTTTTTTATGCTCAAAGGGCATATGCTGCTCTCCAGGGTTACATTGGCTCTTTTTCTCTTTTTTTTTCCTGTATAGAGAATTTTCCTCTCTCCCTGGGATTTAATTATTTCAGTGTCTACTGCTCATGTACCATAGGTAACCCAAACAACATTTTTTTGTAATCTGTTTCCAAACTTTAGACTAAATTTGAAGTCCAAAAAAAAAAATTATAACCAGCATTTATAACCACTCTTGCTTTTAAATTGATCAGAAGTGAGGAAAGGGAAGATCAGTGGAAAGCTATTTTCCTTTGGTTTAGGGAACTTTGAAGAGTTCTGCTAAAAGTCGAGTTCTGCTAAAAGTCGAGTTCTTAAATAATGTTTTCAGCTACACTCCATCAAATATCATGGTTAAGTAGGGAAATGGCCAGACCTTTGAACTATTTTTGTGGCTCCTCATCACTCACTTCTGCACAGGATCTCTCATAACAATGATCCTGAAGAGAAAGGCAGGAGACTTCACACGTGAGCAGAGCTTCCTGCCAGACCTCAGCTGATCCCAAAAAACCTGGAAATGATCCTACATCTAGGCAGAACCACGGGTTTTATTTTCATTGCTGCCTTAGCTGGGTGTAAACCCTGAGGAGGTCCTTTGGCTCAGACCTCTGCGAAGGATGTGATACAGATGAAACCTCCCTACGTGTTGAAAGAGACCCTGTGAACCAAAAACTGCAGGGTTTATGTGAAAAAATGAGAAGTATCCTCACAGCAATTTATCTCTCCCTGCAGTGAAAGTGCTGCTGAGATTTGGTTACTTTGAAGTTTGAATTAAGAGACGAGTGGGAGGTCGATATCTGGGGGAAGACACTGATCCAAAGAGTCTCTCCTGGGCTGAGAATAAAAAAGCAAAGAGTGAGCTAGTAAGAAGCAGCTCTTTTTGGACATGGGACACACAGGGTGGTCACCAGACCTCCCATCTCTGTGCAGGAAGGTTGGGTAGAAACCCACAACATCCCAGCATCCACCTTCCACCTGCTCTGCCAACTCAGCACCCATCTGGGAGCCTTCCTGAGTGAAGGAAACCCAGAATATTACAAAATTAGGGAGCCTTTAGTGGAGTTTACAATCCTCAGGCTGAGTCCTGGAGATGTGAGGTCCCTTTGGGCACGTGGGAGCCGAAGGGTGGGCACAGGCACGGCGAGGGAGGAGCGGGTGATGGCTGAGTGTTCCAGGTCTGACTGTTGGCTGAGAGTGGGAGATTCCATCTCTGTGTTTAATACAAGATAATTATCTCTTGTTGGACGTGAGGAGGACTGAGCTGAGAGCAGCAGTTAGCACTGCTGGGGCAAGTTTCCTCTCGCAGATTAAAAGCCCTTTCTGTAACCTCAGCAACACCCTCTACCAGCAACATTGTTTTACTGAGTGCTGTGGATGCTGCCCATTAAACAGCAATTAGTCCGTGCTGGATGCAGAGCCCTCCCTCTCTCCCAGACCGCTTGTTATTAAGATATTTACGGTTAATATGAATTTCCCCTGCCATAAATCAGCAGCTTTTATACCTGCAGGGAAGTCACGGCAATCAGCGACCCCGCTCAGCCGGCCCCGGGCAACGAGCGCTGTCTTGTAAAAGAAAGATTGTAACAACCTATCGTCGTCGTAAAAACAACAGGAGAGGGGAAAATCCCGGTGCTGGGACCTGATAACGGGCTGTAATCAAGCACTCGCACATCCTCTTCGAGGAGGCCGCTGAATGGAAAGTTACAGGGATTCATTTGTCACCCGGGGGCTGCTGGACAAAGAGCCAAAGCTGGTTGGAATTAGGTGGGTGGGAGGATGGAGGAGCAGGGGTGTGGAGCCTTGCAGGGGGACTGTGTGCCGCCAGGAGTGGGGTGGTCCTCACCCACCGTGGAAAGATAAGGGATGTGCCATGTTTTAAGCAATGCCGCTGGAAACTGGGACGTCACCCTCTGGGACCTGCTCCCTTGGGTGCTGCGGGCTGAAGCTATTCCTAAATCAAGGTTGTTCTGAGACATGTAGAATTATAGAGGCATAGAAAGGTTTGGGTTGGAAGGGATCTTAATACTCATCCAGTTCCAACACTTGCCATGGGCAGGGACACCTTCCACTCTCCCAGCTTGCTCCAACCCCCATCCAACCCGGCCTTGGACACCTCCAGGGATGGGGCAGCCACAGCTTCTCTGGGCAACCTGTGCCAGGGCCTCACCACCCTCACAGGGAGGAATTTCTTCCCAATATCCCACTCAAATCTCCCCATTTCCAGTGAGAAGCCATTCCCTGTGTCCTGTCACACCAGGCCTTTGTCCAAAGTCCCTCTCCAGCTCTCTTGGAGCCCCTTTAGGCACTGGAAGGGGCTTTAAGGTCTACCTGGAGCCTTTCTTTCTCCAGGCTGAAAAATCCCAGCTCTCCCAGTCTGTGTGCAGAGCAGGGGTGCTCCAGCCCTTGGAGCATCTTTGTGACTCTCATCTGGACTTGCTCCAACAAGTCCATGTCTTTCTTCTGTTGGGGGCCAGTGTCCACATTTTCTATGCATTGTATGTGCTTTGAAAACCTGGGTTATATGTCTTAAAATACACACCCACCTCTCAGCAGCATAAGGAATTCCACATGGCACATTGTTTTACTCATGTGTTTGGCATTTGGGTGTAGAGTGGTTGGGAGCAAAGAGAAACTATGCTGACTATTTCTACCTTTGGGGCCAATCTCATTTTTACCCTGTGATTTTGGTGTTATCAGAAAATAATGTTCATGTAAACACTGACCAGTTTCAACCCCAGATCTCCAAACCAAGGAAATCATGCTTCCTATTCCCTTCTTTTTAACCCATTTGGGAAATGTTAACTATGTGAAGTAACTTTCTCTAAAGCACCTTAACTGACAGTGGGTGACAGGAGATGTCACATCCTCCCCTCCACAGGTGTGCAACTCCCAAAAGGCATTTTTTTCCCCCCCTATATAAGACACAGGTGGCTCCACAAACATTATTGCCTCAAGCTGCATCTTTACCTTTGGTCCTTCCTTTCAGGTGTTTCCTCTTGTCTTAAATACAGCAACAAGGGATTTCATGTTCATCTCACCCAGCAACATGATTTTTACTGAAAACAACTCACCATCTTTGCATTCCCCAGGACACCCTCCTGTGTTTCACAGAGGAAAATCCAGACCTGCACAATATCATTGCCTTCTCATTTGGGACTTTGCACTGACACCAGGAGGCTCAATCCCTTGCAACAGCTCAAATAGCATGAGTATGTTTTCTTCCAGGATGAGTTTACTCCTGCTTTAGTACCACTGGATTAGCATTCCCTGGTTAGAGAGTTAACACAATGATGAAAGGATAGAAAAATCAGCTTTCAAGGTAAAATAAGTACATTTTCAACAGTAAAATTAGCTTTCTGAGCACATAGGAGCTGCTAAAATATGATGTCAGTAGATGGCACTATTTTATACTGTATGAGGACACAGGACAGGTAGGGAGGGAGCAGTAAAGCTCAGGAGATGCTGTGAACACAGATTTCCTTTCTCCTTCAAAAATGCTCCACCAAGATCAGTGAAGAAGAGGTGAGGGGTTTGCTCTGTGTGATTTTCACTCTTCTTTTTCCTTGTACTTTGGCAGAGGTTAAGGTTTAAGGACAATCTCTGTCATTTTTGGTTCTTGAGATGCTAAGGCAGAGATCCCTCCAAGTGCTTATCAAGCATCTCAAGCTAACACTGCTCAGAAAATATTCATGTGACTTCAAAAGGTCTCCTTTGCTCCCAGAAACTTGCTAAAAGGGGTGACACTTTTATTCCTCTGAGGCCCAGAGTTGCTTGTGGAGTGACTGAGAGCAGGTTCATTTTCAGCAGGGCAGGATTTAAAGGTTTCACTAATGTCAAATGGCTCTGGGTGTTTTATACCTTGGCATAAGTTATTCTGTGGTTGATGCAGTGTTGGAACCTCACTCAGACAAACTGGAGGAGGGAGAAAGATTGCAAATTGGGCCAAAATGTGACTTTTGTAGTATCTGTTGTAAAGCAGAGATAAAACACTTTGCCTCCCCAGCCCAATTCTTTAAGCCACTGCTTGGAAAAATCAGCCAGGTGACCCTGCTTGGATGCTGGGATGTAGGAGCAGAGTTTGGTCACTGTCTGTTTGTCTGTCTGTCTGTCCATCTGTCCACAGGAGCTGCTGCCACCACAGTGGTGCTGGATGCAGCCAAAGGCACCTGAGAGACAGACTCTGCTGTTCCCGCTTTTCGGAGTTGGCCAGGATTTATTTTGGAGGCTTTAAAGGTCAGAGAGTTCAAAGTTCAAAAATGCTCCTCAGAGTTAACGTATATTTTGCTTTTAAGTAAAAGAAAAAAAGGAATCTGTCCTTCACTGCTAAATCCCTTCTATTAGGAATTCCTGTCATCTTCTGACAGTGACCTTTTTATTCCCTTTAGTAATTGATTTTTTTTCCTCTCCCCAGAGCCTCCATTGTTTTGATTCGTGTCATTTATTACTTTTCTTTTTGCTTGGCATCTCAGAGAACTCTCACCATTCCACTAATGTGCTCTTCCATCCCTTCATTCATATATTGCCTGTTTTTCTGTACTAAACCCAAATAAAAGATGTGCTTGAGGAGCAGCAAAACCTCCTGGTCTTTGCTAACTCTGATCAGCAGAAACACTAAACTGTGCCCATTTACACCCAAGCCATTCCCCCCTCTCTGCCCTCCCTCCTGCTCCATTGCTGATGCAATGCTAGATTTGTAAAAAAA